CAGATGAAAAAGCTCAATTTCAAAAAAGGTTAAAAGACTTGAATTCAGGTCTTCCTGACTCCAAGTCCAGGACTCTATCAATCGTACTACTTAGCTGCTTATTGCTATTAGTATCCCCATTTTACAGTTGAGGAAACTGAGGCAGACAGAGGTTAAATGTCTTGCCCAGGGTCATATGTGGATAGAGCATTGGGCCTGGAGTCAGCATTTTTGCCAAGAAAACCCAAACGGGGTCACAAAGAGTTGGAGACAACTAAAAAATGACTGAACAAACAAATTCATACATAAAGATCCCTTCAGGTTACACATTGGTTTCATTTTAAAATGTGTCACCTGTATTTTATTGTATTTTTATTTATTTTATTAAATATTTTCCAATTACATTTTCATCTGGTTCCCGTGCATTTGAGAATGTTGAGCCAGGCAGGGTTGTTTTGACAAGTCTGAATCATAAAAGATCTCTAAGGCACCTTCTGGCTTAAAATACTATGGTCCTATTAGTTCTGACTCTGTGAATTTAGGCAGTTCATTTAATGTACTCAGGTGTTTTTGCTTCTGTAAAGTGGTGATAATGACTTTTGCCCAACCTATGTCCTAGGGTCATTATGCTGTCAAAAGAGAGAATGCTTGACCAAGTATAAAGACCTACCTGTATTTAAAGGATTACCAAATAACTTTATATCAAGAGTTGGAGCAGCACCTTAGAGGTCATCTGGCCCAGGGCTTCTTAAACTTTTGCCACTCCAGACCTCTTTTCACCTTTTGGCAGTGTTAATTAGCAGTTGTGTAGCAGTTAAGTGGAAGCTAGTGCAAAGTGCACATGCTTTGTGTTCAGAACCAAGGCTGCAGTGAAGTTGCACGATGCAACATGGACAAATGAAGCCAGAAACTCTTCGGATTTATTACGTGTTTGATTTTGAATTAATTTTTGGTCATTGCACATTCAGAAACCTTTTACTGTCGCCAAAGTTGAGACCCACAGTTTAAGAAGCACATTCTAGCCTACCCTCTACATGAGCAGGTGTCTTTTCTACAACATCGCCAACAAATGGTCAACCATTTGTTCTGCTAGAAGACCTCCAGAGAGAGGAGCTCACTACCTGGTAGCACTTAGAACCCTGATTATATAGTAGGTGCCTAAACATGTAGGATTCTCCCGATGATTACTCATTCCTTTCTCCCTTCTAGGTATTTATGAAACACCATAAACACTAAGCAAGTTGTATATATATGATGTCTTTTTGAAGACTCCAGTGTCATAGTGGACTACCAATAAAACATGCCTTAGGCATCTGAATTCAGTAGAGCATGAAATATTCAGTTAGTCCCCAATTCACAGTGTCTTCTTAAAAGGTCGGACCCTGGTAGGCCATTAGTGTCCTTAAAGGCAATTGGTGTCAAAAGACATAATTCAGTTTGTCTAGAGTGACCTACATCTGGCTTATCAAACAAGAAAATGGTATATTTATTAGAAACAACCAGTGGGATACTGGCTCATATTTATAGATGTTAGAGTTGAAAAATGAGCCTTCTATTAGGCTTGGCCTTGGTCGAGCCCATTTGTGCTGTTGGCACAGTTGAATGAAATCCCTCTCTCAGGCAGCCAGTCATAAGTCTAGTCGAAGCCTAGTTATCCGAACCAAACCAGGGGGCCATTCCTTATCTCCTGGCAAGAAACTTTTTTAACCTGAAAAATACCTAAGAAGAAAGTCCTTTAAGTACTGAATTTATAACCCTAAGACTTTGACAGAAACTTCCTCAGTCTTCTACTATAGGGTCCTTGAATATGTATATTAAATGCCATTACACTTACTTTAAAAAACTGGAAGTTTATGGTGGGATGTTGGAATATATAAATGTACTTCATCAACGTCTCCACCCCAAGCAAAATGTTGTTCTCTCTATTATACATTGTGGGCACCGTCCCCATCATTAATCAGTGAAGTTTGACAGATCATGTTTATGATGAAGTTAACTGTTTTCAACCTAAAGGTTTATTTAATTATCTTCATTAGTGGGCAAAATAAAATTTTTTGAATATGGCAAATGCTAAAATGTCAATGTGTTCACCCTTTTACTCTTGAGGTAAATCACAGACCATCAAACCTTAGAACAGAAAGGGACCTCAGAAATTATCAGGCCAACCTGTATTGGATCAGACTCCTCCTACAACATCCCCAGTAAGTAGTAATTTAGCCTCTACTTGAAGTGACCTCCAGTGATAAAGAATTTCCATCCTCCTAAGACAGCCCATTTTACTTTTGGACAACTCTAATTATTAGGAAAATTCTCCTTACTTTTCAGCTGAAATCTGTCCCTCTTTAATTTTTGTCCATTACTCAGAGTGCTGTCCAAACAAAACAAGACTTAACCCTATGCCAATGATAGCCCTTAAGTAGTTTTAAATACTAATCATGTCCCCACTAAGTCTCCTTTTCTTTGGGTAAATAATAGCTTCAGTTCTCTGGACAGCTTCTTATATTGCAAGCGTTCAATTTCTTTCACCACACTGATCTCCTTTTCTCTGGACCTAGTCCAGCTTATCAATATCCTTCCTGTAGTAAGTCTCAGAATTGAAGACAGTACTCCAGAATGTGGCAGTATAGTGAGACTGTCACCTCTTTCATTCTAGACACTATGCTTCCATAAATACAATCCAAAGTAGCATTAGCTTTTTGAGGTACCATAACATCCTGATGGTTAATATTGAGTTTTCAGCTCACTAAAATCCCCAGGTCTTCTTCAACGATTATTTTCTCAAAAACACTTGGCTGTGTTGAGCATTGAGGAGAATAAAGAATAGATAAAGAAATTATTAGGAATATCAGCAGAGGTGTAATCTAATGTTTTGCTTATTTTTTGCAGGACAATAACCTGTAAGTCTTATAGGTAAAAATTCAAATCATGGCTAATGTTGACCTCAATCTTTTTTATTGGTAAAGTAAAACCTTTTTTGAAATTGCACAGCAATTCTGTGCTTAATGTTAATTACATAGTGTTTAAATTATTTTTCCTTATTTAAAAAAAGTCCAGTCATGGATTACTATTATATAAATTACCTGGATAATATTGACATTAGCTCAGCTTCAGATTTGTTGGCTTCAAGGTCAGTCTCAAATAAAAAAGTCTGAGTTTGTTAATGTTTTTCAAATAATGTGGTTTTACTACTTTTCAGTACATATGGTATACTGAACTAGTCTGTTAATCACAATAGTCTGTTAGAAATGGTTTATTGAATGGAGAAGAATCAGTTGCAATTAATTAGCATATGTTATTGAAAGAGACACTACCAAAGAATTTGAAAATAGTTTAGTGTTTACACTATTTTATTTGCTTGGCAAAACATTTCTTCATAGATAGTGAATGTGTAAATTCTGCCTCGTCTGAATTGTCTTGAAGACTTGTTTACCGAGGAGTCCAGATTATAAAGCTTCATGCCAGATTTCTGGCCCTTCACATTCAGAGACTCCTGAATGGCTGAAAAAAGGAGTTGGGGTTGGTTTAAACTCCTTTGCCTTGAAGATTTTTTTCTCACCACTACTGTGAGTTTGAGATTACTTTTGAGTTGAACAGATGAGTTAATTCTAAAGCTGCAGTGAGTATCTCACAGGCACTCGAGAAATATCTTCAGAGAAATCAAGCACGAACACAGCTGGCACGTGACTCGAGAGAATGGAGCGGTTTCGGAGTCAGGGCTTCAAAGAAGCACCAGTGCCCAGGACGCTGATGAAAACATCAGGAGCCAGTTCAAAAAACTTAGAATGTAACAAAAATAAATGTAATTTAATTTAAAAATATATCGGGGAGAAGGACGTCTTTCAGAGGTGGTTCATTCGTGCTGCGTTTCTATGCTGTTTTTTTTTCTCCTCTCACTCCTAAGGGTTCTTAGAGGGTTAAAAAAAATCTTTCAAATTAGCTTGTCATAGCTTTTCAGAGATGGTGGTGAGGAGATGAAAGAGTCCATAGTAGTTTGGGTAGGTAAGACAAGGTCCCACTTTTTTGAACTACAAACTGGACTTCAGTTAGAAGCTAAGAGCTGGAGTTTGGGGCCCTTGGAGAGGCGGGGAAACTCGTGAATTTCTTTCTTTTGAAATAGTTTGGAAAGCTAGTAGGGGAGGTCTGCCCACCAGCCTGTGGCTGGGGGAGCCCGTCCAGTGCCTGCAGGAGCCAAGTGCTCTCTCTGTCCTTGAAGAGCAGCCCAGTTGACCTTGCTCCTCCTTACTCCTAAGAAATCACCAGGAAAGGCGAGAAAACAGAGCGTGGTGACTAAACACCCTTCCTGCCGCATGCAAATGCAGCCAGGCTGGGAGCTGGTCTCCACTCCTCCCCTCCTCTCAATCGAGCTTTTCATTCCCAGATTCAACCGGCATTTTCTGCTCTTTCCTCCCTCCCCCACTTACAAACAGCTTTTCATGAACCAGATTGCCACTGTTTTCCCCCTCCTTTTCCCTTCCCCCATCCCCTCCTCCCCTTTCTCGTCCCCTCTTTTCCCTGCAGGACTGAATCAAAATCTTCCTGATCACTACCTACTTGTTCGATCATAGCACATCCCGGTCACGTCTCCCGGCGAGCCCTGACTGCCAGCATCACTGAGCAGAAGCAGAGGAGGGCAGAGGACATTAGGGAGCCGGGGAAGGGGGTGGGATCCCCAGGCCTTCTCATTGGCTGCTCCCTCCAACCCCCACTTGATGTGCTGTCTCTCAGATCTGGGCATCTGGAATCTCGCTATGGAATGGAAATAGGGAGCTTGTCCGGCAAGAGGGGGCACAGAGGGAGGTGGGAGGAAGGCTGAGGGTCTGCGCGACGCCGGCAAATCCAGGACGGCGTTGCACCGCGGGCTCCCCGGAGCCGGGCACGAATGGTTTTGGATGACACCCACGATCAAGGTGCTTAGAAAGTTTACCCCACCGAGAGTGCCGTGCTACGTCTGACAGCCCCAGGGAGCCGAGAGGAGGAGGAAGAGGAGGAGGAGGAGGAGGGGGGGGCGGAGGCTGCACGATGGGGCATCGGGTGCTAGGCTGCCTCGGCCAGGGGCTGGAGGTACGAGCACTTGCCCCTTGACTGTGAGAGCTGGGCCCCCGGGCTCGCGGCGCTGAGCCCTCGCCTAACTCAGTCGCCTGCCCCATCTCCCCGGGTCAGGATGGGCTACGCCGACCCCTCGGCCAACCGGGGATTTGCTCGGGAATCGAACTTTGTTCTTCATCTTCATCTGCGCCTTTGCCGTGGTGACCTTGCTGCAACAAATCCTATATGGCCGAAACTACATCAGGAGGTCAGAAAGTCGAATGCGGGGCTGAGGCTGGGGCTGGGGGACGGGCCCGAGGAGTCAGCGGGAGTTCACCCTACCGTAGCTGCTCCGGGGACTGGGCTTCACTTCTCTGGCTTTTTAAAAATGATGTGTACCTCTCCTCTCCTCACCTTTTTGACAGGGGGTACGGAGCAGTATTAAGTTTCCGTGGCAGCCCAGATAAATGCTGCTATCTGAGAAGTCAGGGATCTCGGATGAGTGAGGACCCCTTTAAAGGGCGTTCGGTCTCCCGTGATAGGGGAGAACAATTCATAGCCTGCCTTGCGTCTCCCTAGAGGGAGAACCTTGAATGCCCATACCAATTTTAGCTCATTAGAACTCCATTTGAATGTTGAGAGTCAGTGGCAAGAGTCGAAATTGAGAACTCTGGCCTCGGTTTCAGGGACCTTCACTCCCTGTCTGACCCTAGAGTTACTTCTGGAGGCTCCCTTGGGAGAGGTGTTGGTCAAATTCCCTGGGGGGCTTCTTGTTCAGTGAACTTGAGCAATGTACAACTTGGGGCGCTTGGGAAAATGAGGTTTTCGTAGTGGAGTAGTGTGGAGGATGGGGAGGAGGGAATACAAGAGTGATGCTGAATTTATATTTTATCTGTCACTCGACAGGTAAACAAACCACAGTTTAATCTGTTCTGAGACAGCGGAAAGAGCACTCTGGGTCAGAGGACCTAGGTTCAAATCCTACCTTTGATTCTTGTGATACCGACAAGTCATTTAACCTGTCTGGGCCTCAGTTTCCTCATCTGTAAAATGAAGGGCTTGTATTAGATGGATGCTAAGGTCCTTTCTAGCCCTAGATCTACGATCCTACCTTTAGATTGGTTTTTGTCGTGAGCCAGGAAGAATGCAATGAGAACTGTTAGCCCTTGTTTCTCACAACAAATACTTTTCACATGAACAGAAATATCCCCAGAAAGTAGGACCTGGAAAATCTATGGAAAAATGATCACTTATACATTAAACATTCTTCTTTCTGCCTCTGCCTCTCCAAGCGTTGGAAACAGCTTCTGTTTATTTCTGCTTGCTTAAAGTACAGAGCCTGCACCAGGGCAGTCCCAAGCTGAAGTTACTATCGGGGACCACATTTGTCTTGGTCTACAACTCAACCATCTTTTCCCGTACTGCTAGACCTGCTTCTTCCCTCACTTCACCCCACAGGCTTACTCCCCTAGTTTGAGTTTTTCCAGCATTTTCCTCTGTATTTAAATATCCCCTTCTCACTTTTCTGAGGAGAGAGCTGTCCTTCCCTCCCACTTGACCATTCATCTTGCCCTCTTCTCCACCCCCAAGAAGCCTGCACTGGTTGATGTGGAGAGAGGAGGGCATTTAAAGTGCTCCAAACTGACCAGCAATCATTTTAAAATAGCTCTCTCAGCAATGGGGAATCACAGGTACCAGATGAGAGAATTTAGACCTGGAAGGAACTTTGAAGATCAAGCCCAACCTCCACAGTTGAGGAAACTGAGACCCAGAAAAATAAACTTATGTGTTATAGATAGTAAGTAGAAGGGCTAGAACTCAAACCTAGGTCAGATGTGCCGGCCCAGTGTACTTAGATCTGTAGTTAGCCCTCAGGAGGTGACATGACCTTCAAGGGCATTTTCTTCCCCTGAGAGTCAGCAGCTGATCAGACCTGCATTAGACTAGTGGTTTGGAAGGGCTATTCAGCCTAGAGCCTGGGAAGGTGTTGGAAACCTTAGTACAGCTCTTGTATTACTGCTCTCACCTCTGGCTGAGTCCTTACTCTCTCTTCCCCACAAGGACAGCCTGGTTCTAAATAGTTCGTATCAATTTTCCGGATTTTCCTCTCATTAGCCATAGGTTTTGATTGTATTCCTCCCTGTCCTTTCCTCCCCCCACCTCCACCCCCACGGTGGTGCTTGCCTCCCTGTGGTCAGTCTTCTGGGACAGGACATCTTATCAGGAAGGCTGAAGGGCTCAAGCCTGCCACATGGCTATTTGCTAGTCATGTTGTTCTCTTGGAGCTAGAGGATGGGGTTGAGGGGGGGTCTGGGGAGAGGTGAGGAGGGGAAAGTAGGCAGCATTCCCAGCAAGCTTCTGTGATGTGATATTAGAGCAGTGTAGGGGACATAGGGCTCTATACAGAAGCAAACCAAACTCATTATTACTTACTGTTGCTGGTTTCATTGGGTCAGGATGACCTCATCTTAAAGAGCTAGCTCCCCCTAGCAGGGTGTATGTACCCCGATGCCTGCCCGACTCCTTAAATCATTCTTGTTCCTATCTCTGGATCTTCCTACAGTACCCTGGGACAATTGAAGCAGTCATGTACTGAGAATGTATTATATGCCCAGTTCTGGGGTTTGGGGAGATATCTACATCTATCAGACCTGCCTGGTAGACAAGTCATACACACATGAAACAATTAAAAAATAATTAAGTGCTATGTGGTGTAGTGTATCATCTATTAAATGCCTACCATAGACAGAGCACTAGTTAGATGAGATACAAAGTCCTCAGGAACTCATGGGGGACTTAGTCCAGTGAGGAGATAAGACCCTAATACACATGCAATTGTATATATATAATATTATGAGATAAATGCATTTTAGAGTTAGAAGTCCAAATTCAAGAGGCGAGGTTACCAGGCTAAGCTTCCTAAGAAGTGCTGACTATATGAGGGAACTCAGAGAAAGAAGTCACTGGGCAGAATCTTTGGGATGGGAATACTCATGGAGGAGTTTAGACTTGACCTGGGTCTTGAAGGATGAGTAATAGTTGAGTAGTCAAATAAGACGAAGAAGATTGTTCTAAGTTCTCAGCTATGGGAAATCGCAGGTACCTTGGAAGAGAAAATGATGGGCAGGAAATGAGGTTGGATAGCCTGCACAGAGGCAGAGGCAGAAATAAATATGAGATATGTGGGCCAGTGAAGTGAGGAGGCCTGCATGTCGGAGGCCAGGTCTGTGTGCTGGAGTGCAGGGGAAGAATAATGCTGGAAATATTGGGTAGGTTTAGATTGTGGAGGGTCTTAAAAGCTAGGGAGAGGAGTTTGGGCATGATGTAGTTGTCAATCGGGAGCCATTTTGGTTTCTCGAGTGGAAGAATGACATGAGGAAATCACTGTTTTAGAAGGATGAGTCTAGGGGTGTGTGTGTGTGTGTGCATGTGTGTGTGTGTGTGTGTGTGTGTGTGTGCACGTGTGTGTGTGTGCGTGTGTGTGTGTGTGTGCGTGTGTGTGTGTGTGTGTGTGCGCACGTGCGCTCGCATGCGTGTGTGTAAAATGGATTAGAAGACGGATTAGCCCCTGGGAAGGAGTATAGCAATAATCCCATCCAGGATTCTCAGATCCTTAGTTCTTAGTCTACCTCAGTCCACTTTGGAAATCCCAAGAGCTTGTGTCTTTCCCTGTCTAATGCATTCTCCATGTAACTGCCAAAGTTAGATATGTTCCTTAGGTATGAGTCTGACCACGTCACTCTTCTGCTCAAAAAGGTCCAGTGGTTCCCTACTGCCTCTCAGACAAAACATAGACTACTCCATTTGTCCAGACTTACTATATACAATAGGCCCCTTCATGAACTCTAGCGCCCAGTCAAACTGGTCCACTTGCTTGGAATTTTATATTCCATTTCTTGTCTTCAAGTCTCTGCCCAGGCAGTGAGTCCTTCACCTCTGCCTCTCAGAATCCCTAGTTTCTTTTAAAGTTCAGTTTAAGTGCCACTTCCTACGGGAAGCATTTTCTGATCTCAGCAGCTGGTGACAGTTCTCCACCCTCCCTTTGCCCCGTTACACTGTAGTTACTTTATATAGATATTCTGTTTTAAATCATGCTGTTTCATTTTTGGTTTTGGATCCCCAGTGCTTAGAAGAATATCTGGCACACAGTAGGTACTTAATACCTGCTTATTGTCAGAATGAGCTTCTTTAATCTTCAGCTTGTTTGGTGTCATTCTATTAAACGCTCTCATTGTTTTAAAGTTCCAAGCTCTCAGGGCCATTTCTTTCAAGTCACAAGTTACTTGCACTTGCTCAATGACAAAGTTAGACCTGTGGAGGGAGGCGGATATTAAGCCCAATTCTTCATGCTTCTAAACTGCTGCCATTGTTGTAAATTAGGGAACACCATGAGCTTTCAGGAATAGTGCTCTAAAAGCATCCTGACCATTAATGGCTCTCAAACATACTCCACTGGTTAAAAGGGAAATGACCAAGAGGGTGTGAACAGTTAGCCCCACCTCTGAAGAAACAGATTAGGGCATGCTCTGTCTATGGATAAATAGGAACTTCTTCCTCCTCTTCCTCCTCATCACTCACCTATCTATAGATTGCACTTTACTGATTACAAAGTATCTTTACACACATTCTCCTACCTGCTCCTCAGGAAAGAGGTAATATCGATATTATTATCCCCATTTTAGACGTGGGAAAACTGAAGCTAGTGAAGTAATTTGCCCACACTCTCACAGTTAGTAAGTGACAGAGGTTTTCTGACACCAAATCTTGACCCTTTCTACTACATTGCAACTGCATCTTGGCTAGAATGCTAGACATGGAGTCAGAAAGGCTGAGTTCCAATCTAGCTTCAGACACCAGCTGGGAGACCCTAGGCAGGCCACTTAACCTCTGCAGTTTCCTCATCTGAAAAAAGGGGATAATAAAAGTACCTACATTCCAAGGTTTGTTGTGAAGACCAAATGGAATGATAATTGCAAACTACAATTACATTATAAATGCAAAGTACACAGTAAGCACTACATAAATGTTGGTTTTATTATTATTATTATTATTATTAATAAAAGCATTATCTTGATATAGAAAGGCCCCTAATAATATTTATGGTACTTAATTACTCGATTACTGAGAGACATCCTCATCAAGCAAATTTGGGAAGGTCGTCCCTGGGATCCCCAGCCTCTTCTCTTTCTGCCCTCTTTCACCCTCTCCCCTTTTTAGGCGCTCTCACCTTTCCCAGTTCAGAATCCTTATGCTTGTCCCATGTCCTTT